TGGATGGCGGTGACCGGGCTCGAACCTCGAATCATATGGTCCAAAGAACACAGGTAACAGCCACTAAACTACTGCTCCATCACCACCCACAAGTGACTCAGAATGCAACTGACGGGTTCTTACGCTTTGCTTGTGGCAATGGGCGAATAGCCTTGTAAGCAAACGTACTAACTGTTGCCGTACGAAAAGCGTCTCATATCCTCTTCCTCAACTAGCGGTGACATAATCAGCAAAGGCTTCAAACTTGCTGTGGAGTGAACAATAGAATACGTAACACCTCTCCACCCCACTGCCCTGAATGAATCATCTACAACTCTGATTGATAACGAAGAAAACCCTCGATGTGGTTTCAGCACAATCAGGCGTGCTGCACTGATCGGTCGCGCAGGCAAATGTGCATTGATTCAAACCCACAAAGATCGATAAGACAAACAAGCTCATCCATCTACCCGTCATTTGTCAGCCCCAAATGTGTAGGGACCATCGACAGCATGCAGTCACGTGAGAAGATATCGGTACGTTTGACCAGTGCATGAGATTGGCTAACCATAATCCACGGTTTCCACTCCATGCTGTGGATTGAATTATAACTATCAGTTTTTCGACTTAAATTATCCTTAGGGTAACTGAAGATACACGAGGAACGCAACTCTACAGAGAGAGAGATTCAACGGCTGGTGTTTTCGAAGAGAATTTAAATTTGAGTAGATACTATCCGGCGTTGTGTGCATTCGTGATGTGACCCGGAATTAAATATCAGTAACTAAAATACAGAAACCGGATTCTGGACTTCGTGAAAGTAGAAAGTGGACAAAGGCATTCGTAAATATTGTTGTTGTTGTTTGGTATATAGTGGTCCCCTCAAGGTAACAAACAAACATGATGAATCGGATTTGAGGAAATTCATACAGCTGCACACAGACACAAGTTATTCGAAAGAAAAGAATAATTCGTGAAAAAAAGAAGTTATTATTTTTGTTGTTGTTGTTGGTGGTGGTGGTGGTGGTGGTGGTGTTATTGAGCACGTTTCAAATACAGTCAACAGAAGAGTAAAACAGATTACAATTGATGTGTCATCTAAGAAACAACAAAAAGAAAACAAACAATCGGGGGAGGGGGAGTGGGCGGGCTGGGATAAAATGATCTGATGATATGAGAGGTAAATTACTGACTAGATTGTTTTTATCTTTTTGTTCCGCTGACATTCCGCGTGTTTTGATTGCCAGGGAATGAAACTCAGAGCCACAAAATAAAGATGAATGAAATCTGTGGGTCAAGTTTTTTTTGGGTTGTTAAAAAATCGTAATACTAATATTGAAAATAATAAAGGTAATAGTGCTATTAATAGTATAAGGTGGGCTGAGGGGAATCTGAGGCTCGAAAACGAATACGATTAACTACAAACGCGTGCTGCTTTCGTGGCTCACTGGGCCCGCACATTCCCGTTACCCCAGTCCAATTGTATCAAATGAGGTAAATAGGTGGCGTTCGGTACGAGCACATTGGCATATGAGAGTAGATTGTGAGCCAGCGAGAAACCGGATAATACGCCCACGGTCAGTCGAACACCGGCTGCGCGGCCTGAGAGCAAATCAGCCGGACTGTCTCCAACCACCATGGTCTGTTGCGGTGTGCACTGGATAGTTCAGATGTAAATTTGAAAAAAAAAGCATAACGAAATTATTTTTTAATTTCGGCCAATCATTTTTTTATCAGCCGTAGATGAGTGGTTAACACACCACACAAAGAACCTAGATATTAAGGCCGTTATTGCTAAGAATTCACATGCACTAAAACCCAGACATGTGTACTTCATGTAGTCAAGTGGGTAGGAGTGAAGGTTTTAAATTCTAAATTGATGGTCTGGGGCTTCCATTGTCACCCAGGGACACAAAGTATCGCCCACGGACAAGTATTTTAATCCACTACTCAGATGAGATAAGTAGTCAGGTTGTGATTGTTTCCAACCGAGTCATAACCCCGGAGGCCAGTGCTGAGGTGAGCGAGGTCTGTGGTCTGCAACAAGCTCGGTGTGCTATATCGTGTAAACGGAAAATCAGTTGCCCGGGGGCCGAGTGGGTAGCATGCTTGCGTTCTGCTTGTTAGATACCGGGTTCGATCCCCAGTTGGGTCGGTGCATTCGCATTTCTGATGAGAGGTTGAAACAGCTGTCCAATGCTTCCCAGCTTTTTCAGTTCACGCTTCATTTGACATATACACGACGAATTTCTCCTTTGAAACGGAGTCAAATCCTCCCATACGCACATGTTTTCAATCCGTTTATCGATGCATCAGAATCTCTCGGACCTCACCGTGTGGAGATTCTCGAACGGTCTCAGGTCAAAATCACAGTTTTTCACTGCCACAGACGATCAGTAGTAAAAGAGTACAGATCAGTGATGTAGATTGCCGTGTAGCTCTAATCCAGCTCTGATACACAAGTGCACACGAACACAATACCTTCCGAAAACGTCCTACCACTGAAAGCCAAAGTTGTCACGGGAAGCCTAACTCTGAGAATTCTTACTATATGTATCTGAAATGGGACTGTGACAAGACGCATGGCATCGGACAGAATACGGCAACCTGCTTTGTCCATTCCCTCCATCCGCGTTCTCAGAACTTTTATTACGGAAAAATCGATACTTTGAGCAACCTTATAAGTACACCTCGGTTCTTCCTTGGTGAATGCACTTTTATCGGCACCACCACTAAGCGTTCGCACTGTCTACCATTGTCTTTTAACTGGGACTGTTGGGAAACGCATGATGTGAACAGCTTCGGTGGTAGTTTGGAGGACACAACAAAAACCAAATAGGGTCAGTTTCTGTAAATTGTTTAACCATCTAATACCTATGAGATTGTCATGAAAATCAGTTGATCAAACGCATGTGAACAGATGTATTCATGTTCATCTTGCAGACTCCGGTTGACTCTACGGGAAGCCTGCCGTGGTTGTCAGTCCAAATGTGAATACGTATATCAATCACGAAAGCTGTGACTCGAACGAAACGAACTAGGTGAAGCTCACACGTGGGATTTTAATCCCATTAAATACTCGAACCATTTAATGATCCCCGGGAAATTCTAAACATCGTAAAATTCACTCTGGTTGTCTATAGTAAACAGCACACGCAGTGTGAAACACGTCGATCATAGAGTTCCACGGTGTTGAGAAGAATGCTTATCTGATATGAGACAATGCAACTAGCCCTCGTCTAGTCGACACGTTTACTTTCCAACTTAGCCTGTGTGATGAGATTGTGTGTGTGAGAGAGAGAAAAATAACCGCATAGGCCGTGAGACTCAGCCACGTGTGATGATGGAAGTAGCACATTGTCTGTCCCCTCATCCTCATTCGGCGATTGGCAGCCTGTATTCATTTTCACCCCACCGCTTCTATGCGAACTATTTAACAGTTCGACACACAGTGTCTGGCTTCTCTGTGTGCACACAGGGTGGTCGTCCCAATTTGTCGGCTGGGCCGTTTCTATTTCTGCTCTATTGCATTTAGCCACACTCGGGCCATTATGTGCGGTGCGGATAGACGGATCCTTATCAGTCCGTTTCGCCTTTTTTGTGTGCTTTATTTCTCAAACGTTTCACCCCTAATCGAGGTGGCATCTTCAGTGGGTGTGAACCGGCAGAGTTCTGCTTCTGTATACCCGTTCGCTTACTTATGTAATTCTCTTATAATCATAACCATAGGTAATAAAACACTTTTAAATCACGAAATTTGACTAAGTACTTTGTAACCTGGGGGAATTCGTTCGTAAAATATATTGGCCGCAGTGGCTAAGCGGCTAATTCATCAAAGTAGAGACCTAGTGTCAGCGGAAGCCTAGCCTTCCCCTAAGAGTGCTCCGGTTTGAATTTGAAATAAACTGTGATCAGCCGTCAAAGTGAGGACGTGTCGGTGTTTTCTCGAGGCTCCCGGATGCGTAATCAGACCTCGTCATCGGCACCCATGTAACCCAGATTCAGGATAAATGACTATAGACTGTGATCAATCCCATATATGTGCCGCACGTTTCTCAGTCCATGTTTGGTTGGCGCTATCAATCAAGCCTTGCACTGTAACTGCTTTTTTAACTGGAATCGCTGATATACGCCTCACAGGACCAGGTTTGGTGATCATGTTTGTTGAGACGAAACACCTGGAAATTTTGATTTGGAATTCAGTCACCGCCGCCCATCTTTCCCGACGTTTATAATTCCCCAGGTAGTCTTTGTATGGCTGCGAGTACCTTTCCGAAAGTTGGCTGGACATTTTTAAACCGTGTAATTAAACAAGGGAAATTAAATCATTTATGAGAAATTTGTTTATTTTATGAAAATTTTTAAATCACTTGATTACTCACTCCCAATTTTTCCATAATTCGATAGACGGTATGCGGCAGTGGTTTTGGGTGACGATCCGCATCTTCAGCACACGAGATCAGATCAACACAATCGTCCAGTTTGGAGCAGTCCAAAAACTCACGACAGGCATCTCGTGTGTCAGACGTGTTTATGGCAATGTGTAAGTGTTTACTTTTCAGTTCTCGAATCGCATCCACCACACCGGGGATCACGTCTGTGGGTTCTAACGGTGGCTCGTACCAAATCTTTCGAAGTGTGTGTGAGGGGGGGGGGTAGATTTAGTGATAAAGACGAGTATGGGATAAGAATATAGTGAATATGGTGAAGTTTTTCGTGAAGTTAGATGTAATAAAAATAATATTTTATAAAATGTAACAATGGATTGCCTAATCTAGATACATATACAATACAGATGCAAAATGCAAACAAATCTCAATAGCTGTATTGTGCTGCATTATAATTCCGACTTCTGTAAGCATGGTGACCACATTTCGGTCAAACATGTACACAGTAGAGAAGGAAAAATAAGTCATTCTGGAAAGTTTTGAAGGGGGACCTGCAATAATCCTATGTGCAAACCTCTCACATGCGCTCCAATGATTTTCACACAGTTTGGTTAGTAGCTCATCCGGCAGGATCGAAGAGACATGGTCAGTCCACGTCGAAGCAGCCTGAAGGTTTTCTTTAGAGTGGAAAATAAAACAGGTTAAAAATTAAGTAAAACGGGAAAAAAAACGTTGGTGGATAAATTTTAAGATTTTAAGAAAAACTGTCGTTTTGCGGATGTGGAAAGTAATTTGTTGAAATTATGGGTCAATAAGTCCAATGTAAATTAGCATTGACTAAAATCCCCATGTGTTTGATGCAGTTCGCCCAGGAGATAACTGATGCATAATCAGGTGGAAAAGAACATGAACAAGTTACGAGACATCCGAAAGATTTGCAGGGATTAAGAGAGAAACCACACGTAGCGGAAAGTTCAAGTTATCATACCTTTGACAAGTTGCCACTTGCAAGTCAAAGGATCTGTTATTCCAGTAAGCGTTAATGAGGCAATATCGCTACTGTCACATTTCACAAGCCGTGTTAGTAGATATATTCACCCACCTTCACCTCCAGAAAGGTGTATTCATCATTATGCTGATGGGACAAATGCATTCTATGTCGAAGTGGAACAAAAATAAACGAATCGTTTTTCGGTTTGGGAAAGAAATGAATAACGTGGATGAGCTTTGTTGGTGGTAACGACCTCAAACCAGGCCAAAACATCGGTTGTAAATCGAGTTAGATTGATTTTGTGCCCCAGTGTGTTCTCTTGTGTACACATAAGAGGAACAGAGACAAAGTTACAGGGGAGGGGGCTGTTTATTGATCAAGGAGATCAACGAAGTATGAATCGGTCACAGTGACTCTTCTCAGTATGGATGCACACTCACCCCGACTCAAACATTGAACAATGTGTTTGATCCCGGTAGCATCGGCTGTATAGGCACAGGCATATATTGCACATGCAAGCCGACTGCCCTCTCATCTGTTTCCCATTCGTGGTCGAACTGGAGTATATCTTCATTCCTTGAAACATGCTTGGTCGAACAAGTAGAACAGGGAGCTAAATGCTGCGCTGAAATTTGCACTACAGAGCCAAACCGAGAGTGGTATAAGCCAGGGTATGCTTACAGTGAAATATGCAGTTGGCAAGAAACATATCTAAAATATATGTATACGTATGAATCTTGATACACTAAAGACAACCTACTTCAATGCAAATTTGGAGATTATTTGCACTGCAGTTTGTGAAAAGCCTGGTCGATAGTACACAGAGAAAGTCTGGTGGATTTTTCAAACCTACAACAGGGACTATATCTTAATGAGGTTAGATGTTGCACTAGAAGAGTACTGCTCCTTTCAATTTTATGGTAACTGACTTATATGTAGTTTTGAATGCTATTTCCATATAAACTCTGTTACAAAATACTTTCATCTAATTTTGTCTTACTGTGACTTCAAACAGAACTGTAAGAAGAATGTATATTTTGGTGTTCTTATTAACGCAACTGAATCAAAACACCTCAATTGCCATATAATATTTTTTCCAAAGACCGTGATTGTTGTGAACTTAATGGATTCAATTGACTATTCCGAAATGAAATATAGGACACCTGCAAACACACACGTAGTACAAAGGGCTCCTTTTTAATCTATAGTTCGGTTTACTTTTATTGGGCTAATCGAGCCACGTGACTGTACGGTAAGCCCGCATGATTGATAAATCACGTGAACGGAAAGCAATCAGCTAATCCGAGAGAAAAAATCAGAAAGAATTCAGCAAATTCAAACTTGGGCCACACTACGACAAGATGCAAAAGAGACCTAGTACTATGAAAACGACAGAACCGTTTTTATGACGGCCAGTCCGGTGGTGGGGAGCTTGCCGGAAAACATTAACAACTTTTTTTTCGCTATTCGAAGCTCAAAAAGAGTCAAATTGTTGTATTTAATTGTTAATATGTAGTTACTTTGATGTTCATCGGACTGTTGTTTAAATAAGTATATTGAATAAATCGGGAATACTGGAAATTGTGGACATTTATGTGGGATTTAAAAATAGAGCACTCTGACTTGAAGACAGACAATATGGGGGCTTCAAATACGATTTGCGAAGCATTTTCATCTTTTCCCCTAAATAAATGAAAACTGGTATAGTTTAGTTTAGTTTTGGCCAAAACAAGGCATTTTCGTGGCTATTTTGACTAACAAACAAGTGAACTATCGAGGATTACAGTAGATCATGATTTTCAAAAAAAAATGCATAAAGGATAACGGTTAACTCAGCGCAAACCATTGGAGAAAACACCAATCAATTTGAACAATAAATGGCATTCACAAACAAAGGAAACTGGATGAAAACTATCCAATATGGCGTAAAATTTCAGTTTTTCTAACTAGAATTTTCTGAATAACCTAATGGATTTTTCTTAGGATGATAGTGTTTATGAGTATCGTAACAGCTTGGATATGTATATAACCACTATCTTGCAAGCAAGCATGGTGCTAATGCAACAGCAATAATGACATATAGTAGGGTGGTTGGAGTACAAAATAATGGAGATCAAACCATTACCGTGGAGTAAAATAAGTGTTGAATCACACGACGTGAAGATGAACAGTTAGTATCATAATATACATATATTTCACACACGTCGGAGGCCAGACTGTGTGCAAACAAATAACGGTAGAGTAAGAATTATAAAAAGCTCTATAATTTGCATGTTGGTGGAATGCTGTCAGTTTGCCTAGCCCAAGGCAGGTCAATTTTCTTCGGGAATTCACAACCGGAGCCTTCGACGAGCCAAATCCTGACCCGCAAGGAAGCGGAACTACAATCCATTGGGGTCAGCCGAGTAAACGCCCATTCAACGGGGTCAACTGTCTAAGGTGCCCGATAAATCTCCATGCCCCATCGAGCCGGTGACCACCATCACAACAGGGAAGGTGTGGGTGTATGTAGTTCGTACGCCTCTTTTTCGTTCGTTTGGAACCAGCGTTTTTAACCAACACCCTTAGGTGGTTCACCAATCTGTTATAGGCCAGGATGTTGGCTTGTTATCCTCGGACTTTGGTGGGAAAATACCTCCGCCGCGTGAAGGCCGTGAGCAGGGCTTTCTCAACAGCTAGGGTGACGCAGTATATTCTATCAGTAATGCCTGAGTAGATCATCGATGTTTTATCGATCCTGCGATGGTGGCTCTGGTAATCCTAATAAAACAGTCACCGGGCGGAGGAGGGAAGATGAGCGTAGATTTATAACTGCACTCATACTTTCAAAGTGTCCCCGGGACTTTGACCTATTTCAAACGAGTGGTTCACCGTACGGCGAACACTTTTTCGTTATAGTGCCAGTTTATTGAAGATCAAACGTTGCACGTAGATATCTAGTTTGCACAGGGATAATACTACTAAAAGGAATTTGACGAAATACAGCATGCTGTGTGTTTCAAGGAGATGACTAATGGCATTTCGCGGGAATACATAGAATGTACCAGCATGGAATGCGTAAATATGGATCGTGGAAGCCCTTGGAATGTAAAGCGTCAAAAATAGGAATTCCGACTGGTTATTGCGAACAAACCACAAACACCGCGGATCGTACTTTTTCAACATCTAAGCGGAACAGCACAACGAGTAAAACGAGAAGATACCTGCCGTAATTGAGGGGAAAATACTTTTGTAATTGTTTTTGATCTGATATTTTGATCAAAATTAAACTGTTGTTTCCTTCTATTTGATGCAGGTATTTAATTTGTATTTATTCCCCTTAGCTTCGTAGAAAACGTAACAATTTAGCAGATTCATCAAAAAACCGGAATACACCGCACGTGGAACGAATCACGATGTGCTTGAGTCGAGCTCACATTCGGCTCTGGACTGATAACTGCCAATTATATGAATAATTTCTGTAGTAGTCGAAGTAGTTACTAATTGTGAATCATGAATCACGGGAGCAAATGAAGCACAGAATCGCACAAGCAACTGTACGCTGGAATCTCCCGTCACTGAGACACAGGTAAAAGGCCACAGAATTAGAGGTTCCCTTGTAGATAGAAATCGATGAGATTGTGTCATATAAAAAGGAACTTTAATGGCTATACAGGTATCCACCAATGGCCTGATTGTATTCTTTACGTCATACAGATCTTGTCTGAATCGTACGACTTCTGATTGGTCGGCACAACTGGCCTGGGGTTCTTTGTCCAGAAACTGTAACCCATCACTCCGTAGGCTAGGATCACTAAAATTTTATCATATACAAAGCGCATGAATCGTGAATCGAAAAACTGGGAAGCACTGTAAAGCTGTTTCAACCTGTTTGGGTCTCATCAGCAGAGCGAATTCATCAACCCAAATGAACCGGCTACCTCACTATTAGAACGCAAACCAGCTACCCACTTGACCACTGGGCAATTGATCAGTACAATACATAGCACAGCCCATCACTGTGAGCTTGTTGCGGTCATCTCATTTAGTCCATCTCGGTAGTAGCTTTCAGGGTTATAACCCAGCTGGAAACAATCCAAGCCCGACTATTTGTTACATAAAAGTAGAAAGGGGGAATTTGATTTGTTAATAATTGGAACATAACCTCCATTTATGGAGGAAAATGAATTGAACTCGGGTGGTTACGATACTGCAGAACGGCAAAATTCGACCACGGTGTCGGTTTGAGGATGATAAATTCAATGTCAATGTCACAATCTCCACGGCTGGTGGTGGCTACCCAATTCTACAGAAATCGCATCTTGGAAAAAAATTCGCTGGAAAAGTATTGTTATTAGAGCGATCATTTGGTACGGCCAAAGGAAATCCGAAGGGAACGATGCTCAGGCAGCTTATGCTTTAATTTCATCGGAAAGAGAAATCTATGGAACAGTTCAAGTGGATTTGGCGGTAATCATCCTCTGATTCCTTCAAGTTGTTCTACTGAAATAAATGCAAGCATTAGTGGGTTTTATTTCAAAGAGAAAATGGCACACTTCCAAACCGATCGTTTTGAAGTTAAAAAATGGACGCCATTTGAGAAAATTAACATTGTTTCCAGTAAGAATCTCTTCTGATGGTGGTTGGCCGAGTTTTATCCAGCGCTCCACGGAACATTGGTACATCATACGATTGCGCTGTTCGAGGCTAGAGCTTCACTTATTGGGCACTCTTAAAAACCATGTTATCACATCGGCGACCTTGGGATTTTTATAATCATGGGTTAGAATCACCGCTTGATACGCTTGTGGGTGTGGGCGTGTGCCGGGTGGAATAGTGTGCACCTGTGTGCTCCTTTTCGCCGGCATGTTCTCAGTTTTCCGTTCTATCTTAAATCATTCTTCATCGATCGACCACGCGGGTAGACGGAATGCTAACAACCGAATGAATACTTATGAATCATTCACACTGAACCTCAAGCGGATGTCAAGTGCAGTGGTGAAGTGAATGTGAGCTGAAGTTTGCCCCAATGCAATCATTGGTTCATGCTTGCACACCTTGGGTCCAGATCCGCAATGACTGTACAGAAATCGCTGTTTATTTTCAAATATTATATTATATTATTATATATACAGTATGTATTAGTTGCAAGTAGAAGTTGCAAGAAACCATTATAGAAAAGAAGACGACACTCAATGTAATATGACAGTTTTGATAGGCTTATCAATTTAATAATACAATGAGAATTGAGGAATTTTTTAATTCGATACTTTTCTGTTTAGATGCAGATTACAGTAACAATAGAACGAATGATTTTTGATTTATTCGTCATAATTAATTACATCGTGAGTGGTAGTCTAAATTATGGAGTTTGATTTACTCTTGTGCCTTTGGTGTACACTTCAGTATGTATGAAATAAAGCCTTTTCAATTTTTTTTATAAAACTACCGGTACGGGATATAATTATTTTGCACAGACTGAAGGCAATCGCTCTATTTGTCTCTTACCTTTTCCAGTATTGCAGATGCCTCTTTCATTCCGTAGCCGTTGAGCATCAACAAATAACCGAGACATTCTTTGATATGCAGTTTGGAGCTATCGACCAACAGACCACCGGCAGCTCGACGTGTTTCCGGGGTGTAGCCAAGGATGGCCAAGAATTGTCTGGCAATTTCCGGCGAAGTCATTTTGTCCAGTCTGACAGAGGAATGAATTCGAAAAACGAGATACTGAGTTAAGATGCGAGTCACCTTTTCCACTTAATTTCGAGCTCATCACTTTTTCAATACCTCAATTCGCCCAGGTGATTGAAATCGTTGATTGATCAACGAGTAAAAAAACACCAACCACGAGGAAAACAAAAGCTGTCTGTATTTGGTTTTGGTAGTTTGATATGCAGAAAAGATATTTTCCCTCCTGTTGGTTGCAACTTACTGCCTATCGTGAAATGTTTCATTTGTCCGATTCTTTTTTGCAAAACAATTGGTTAAGTTCAACTTACAACTAGTAGAAATTGAAAATCAGCCAGCAGCCTCACTTTGGACAGATTACAAGAGTATCGATTAACAAACAAAAATACATGCCCGGATATTGATTACGAGGACATGCATGTGTGTACGGCTGGTGGGTTGTGTGGATTGTGCGATTCACCTAACCGGTGAATCGGACAATGCTGCAGAAAAGCTGTCACCAATCACGGCAGTTTTGATGACGTGGTGACATGTAGACATACTGTGCACGGGTTTACCGAAATGGTCGCTTACATTGAAACCGGACGCAATACGAAGACCTGTAACTAAATGTTATATGTCAATATGATAAACGGTATGATCAGTATTTGGGAGAGCTTTCTTTTCCTCCATGGTTAAGTCAACAAGGCAGAAGTGTAAGATTGGTGCATCCGAAATTAGTTTGAGTAGATTGTGTCCGGAACAGAGTTTGAATTACTGTCCAGTCACCTCAAATGTCCAGCAGTTCCCGTTGTCTCATCACTTCTCATGATATGCATACACAAACGTTCACGGTGCAGCTATTTGCGCCGTTTTGCTCGTTAAGTTCCCTTTTAAAGGGTTTCCAACAACAGAAAAAGTGCACTGTAAATGGTGACAATAAAAATTGATGCGTCTTGAAATTTCGTGGTTAAACGACACGACATTAAACATTATGGTCGGTCGTTTTGGTACCTCTACAGTCAAAAACCGAAGCCAGCACTGTCGCGAAGTGCACCGGTAAATGTAAGACAATTATGTATGCGTTATATGCACTGAGCTACCGAATCAATTAAT